GAAGCAATGTGGCCATAACACAGCTGGTAAAAACACCACAAACCAGATACACTGCGAAGCTGCATTCTTAATCATTCAACCTGTGTTTTTCATCAAATAAGGACAAGATATAATCGTATTTATTTATATAAACTAAAATGACAAATTATTGGTTTTGGCTAGACTAGTTTGACTGAAATGTTCTATATAATCTGATGACTAAAAAAGACTCAACAGTTTTCATTGACAAAAAGTAGACTAAAATAATTAGTTTTCTTTGACTAAAATAAGACTAAAATGCTCAGACTTTTAGTCGACTAAATCTTGACTAAAATAGTTACCGTTTTAGTCGACTAAAATAAGACAAATGCTCAGACTTTTAGTCGACTAAAGCTTGACTAAATTTAAACGGGATGAAGGTGACTAAATATGACTAAAACTAAAAAGGAAATTTAACAGAGGACTAAGACTAAAACAAAATTAAAAAATAGCTGACGAAATTAACACTATGCTGCAGTCATGGACTTCATAGAGGAGAAACATATACACCATATAGGCCTACGTCCTGATAAAACTGAATGAGTGGTGGAGTGATGTAGAAACAGTCAGGGAATACTCACAGGAGTTCACTTATGAATTATTATTATTTTTGTGCCAGATGTGTTTTGTGATGTTTACACAGAATGCTTTCTGTATTTAGAAACATTTCAGTTTATGGAAAAGAGACTTTAAGATGTAGTTATTCATTTATCTGTTCTTCACGTCCAATATACAGAAGAATATAATGTATATTATGTTTTGAGTGGGGGGCACTCAGTTCACAGTGAGTGATGAATTCTTATCTTATTGCTACTGGTATCTTTTACTATGATGATTATTAATGGGGATGGGGTACTTTTATTAATGATAGCTTATTGCTTCATTGAACCTATATGTTTCTTATTGAATGTTTGCCACAGTGTTCACAATTGTTATTTGTTATCTGTTCTTCACGTCCAATATACAGTTTAAAGAACAATATAATGTATTCTTTTATGAGTAGGGGGCACTAGATGACAGTTTAAGATGATGTCAGTAATGAATTGTACATTATTGCAACTGGTAATCACTTTATTTTTTAACTACGATGATTTGATATTTGATGATATGGGGGTGGGTTACTTTTATTAATGATATTGCTTAATTGTACCTTAATTTCCTTAATTAAATGTTTATCACAGTTCTCACAATTGTTATTTGTTGTACCAAATTGTTAAATAAAGTTGTTAAGCAAGGCATTGACTTGAGTGGTATACATTTTGGAATTGTATGTTGTAATGAGGCCAGTGTCACCACCGTCAGTTCCAAAGTCACCACCGTCAGTTCCAAAGTCACCACCGTCAGAGGGAGTTTTATTTGTTTTAAATGAATATGCTTGTAATCTGTTTCTTCAGTGCTGTTGAGTTATTAAAGTAATAGTCTCTTTTAATACAAAAATGTGTTTTTTAAGTAAAAAAACATTACTTTGTCTGTTTAAGCTAAAAGTAAACATTGTATGATGTAATATCTTTTAAAGGAGCACACGTGAAACAGTATAAAAAATGAGCAAAAGTGAATATTCAACATTTTACAGCATATGTGTACTTAGAATACCAGATAATGATTTAAAAGCTCTAAATACATATTAGACTAAATACAAATAAAAAATAAATCACTTTTTATTGTGTCCGACGGTGTTTACAAAAACAAAGTAATGACTGGAAAAACCTATTTTATGAAAAAAATACAAAATGAGGAGGTTGCACCGGTACATTGCTGAACAGCCAAGACCTTGGTCTATAATGATATAACTTCAGATTTTGTAATTTAACAAACTTTTTATTTTCAAAATTAAAACCTGTTTTATCCAAATTCCCAAGAATCAGTGACGTGCTTTCACACCGTCTACAGTTTGATTTGTATAGAGGGAGCTCTGTGGCTGAATGGCCAGCGATTAGGTGTGGCGCATTTATCATAGGTGATCAGAGCAAACTGCCTGCCGTCAGATTTCATTTAAAAAACAGGTCTGATTTTAAGACTATTTCTGCGCTCATAAAGAATGATAAGAATAAGAATAATGCATATTGAACTGGTTTCATTAATTAGTGAGTTTATTTAACACTAGAACTGCCAATCGGGTCAATTTGTGTGATGTGCGTTGTGTGTGTGCAATGTAACTTTTTTTCAATAAAATATTAAAGTCTCCCAGTCCGTGACTTTTCCTGAAAGTGTGTTATGTAGCACCCATGTTGTTAAAAATTGCATTATAATAGCGGGATTTGACGGTGTTAGGTAGGCCTATACAAAACCTCTGGCGGTTATATCACTCACAGGCTCCGCCCTCTACTGGACTCTATGGGTACTATCTTACCCTGCGAGCATTCTCCCACTGAGACTTCTATAGACGTAGCCGGCCTTGGGCGGGCCTACCTGAATGCGCGCGCATCACACCGTATAAAAGGAGGCCTCGCCTCCTGACTATCATCCTTTTCTCTTCAGCAGCGGAAGTGATTCCACGAGAGACTGAGAGACGTTTGAAAGAAGAGTTATCATACCTCCAGGGAGTCGCCACTGCTAGAGACCCGGGCCTGTCCTTCGTGCCCTAGCTGAAATAGCGGGCGCCGATCCCCACCACCTTTGCTTCGAGTGTTTGGGGGACCAGGATATGCCGAGGCGGTGCCATTCACGTTCGCCATTCCTTCCGGGTCTGGCGTCCATGGAAGTCCACCGCCCAGGGCTGTAGGCTACTCTCCCTGGATGATGATCATGGCGGCGGGTGTGTGGGCTACTCACTCATTAGAGATGCCCCCGCCTCACCAGGTCAGAGCGATTATTGGGCCGCAAGGCCGAATAAGTAGCTTGGTCCACGGGCCTTGCCCCAGGCCCGGTTCCCCCGGGGACCGGTGCTCGGTGACTTCACATGATATAGGGTCGACCCTACTTCATCACAGGCCGCCGCCGCTGCCCGCCGTGTGATGTCCCTGGGATATCACGCCGCGTGGCACTTTCCAAAGAGGATCGTGTTGATCTCCTGGGAGCCCCCGTGTTTTCGGAAGGGCTCTTTGGATCGATCTCCTTGCTCACGGGATAAGGAGTAGTCGCAGCGTGGCTGCTTCTTGCCCATCCCCAGAGGAAGAAACACTGTCCTACACTCCCCGCCCCTGCTGTAAACCCCAGTATAGGGAGCCAGCAGGTGGGCGTGTGCACGTGAGTGGAATAAACCGAGTGCTGTCAAAGCACTGTGCGGGTTCAAGAGACGCTATTGCCGGCGTGCTGTTGTCAGAAAACACACCTTGCCTGGTATAATAGCTCCGATTAATGCATTTCACCGTTGCAATGGGAAATACAGCGTTAATACGTGGAGAGTGGCCCCGGTGCGTTCAGGGCAACCTGATCTCACCAGAATGCGTGACTCCACCACGCAACCTTAACACCGCATTGCGTGGTGGAGTCACGCATTCTGTTACATTTGCGTGTCGGCACCACGCAAAAAACCCCAATGTGAAGTGAATGAGGCTCTTTTGTCGTGGTGCACACACGCATTTCTACGACGTCCCGCAGTGAGCTTTTATTCTATAAAACGTTTTTAAAATCTACTTTATAGCTTGTAGTAACTCACGTGAGGCTTCTTTTATTTTATTTGTATTCATAATAATTTTTATTTTTCGTCAGAATGTATTATGGTGCATTATTTATCAATTTCTGTTCTCAAAAAACAGTGCATTGTGTGTAATACAACTGTGATTTTTATTAAATTACTTAGTTTTTAAGGAAGGCCAGAGCTTCAGCTGTGTCAAATAGATTGTTCCCTTTAGTTTACGTTATTTAAAAGACAATTATATTCCTATTTGATCAATAAAGGGGTATTGTAGGCCAATATTAGTCATTTAAAACATATACAATGATGATAATGATGGTGAAAACCACTCCCCCCACTGGCTACTGACTGTATTTGAAATGCTTTTTGTTTAATAGTAATAATAATCATTTGTATTATAACAACAATAAACCAGAAGAAGATTCCGTAGTTACCCCGGCAACGTTACGTCGCGCTTTACGTTAACGTGACGTAGCCACATTACCCACAATCACCTCACTTTCATTAATTTCATCCGATTTAATCTGACAACGGACAACAGTAAGTATCTAAAATCAAGGGGAGTTTATTTCTTTAAAACACGAAATAATATTGCTTTTATTTATTCCACTGTAGCACAGTCTCTATAGCGTTTCATTCCTGGATATTAGTTTGAGTTGTGTAGTGTGTTTAGCTTTTACAATAGGCCAACTAGCGGCCACGTTCAGCTAGCCTCCGGCCTTCTGGTCAACGTTTTGAGCTGGATAGCATTTATAGTTTATACAGCTAAATTACATTAGCTGTCACCGGCACAGTTGGATAGTGGAGGTGCATGCTATAAAAATATGTTTACATTTATGTATTTGCACATGTGTTGTAAAGACAGTGTTCAACACAGTTTTAATAGTGGCTAATGCATCGGCTATGGAGTGGAACAAAAATGTGGAACTGGAGTTTTTCCAGAGGATTTGACTGGCCACCCAATGTCCCACTCTGAATCAGAAATACTTCATTGATCTCCGGGGGAAATTGGGATTGTTACATTGTAGAATTTAAATATATAGTAGAAGATATAAGAAAAACAAGTGCATAATATAACAATATGCACAGTATAAATGCATAATGTATGCCAGAGTATTGCTCAGATGAATTATTATTGCATATAGACTAATGCACAGATTAATTATTATTGCATAGAGTATTACACAGATGTTACTGTTATTCGAAATAATCCTAATCATGTTTTTCTTTTTTTCTGTTTTACAGCTTCATTACAACACTTAATATCACCAACACACACATATCCACACACACACACACATATAAAACCAACGGCACTTTTAAGAGCCACTCTTTCTCTCACTGTCTCTCTTTCTATCACTCTCTCACTTTCTCTTTGAATCACTCTCTCACTTTCTCTGTTAATCACTCTCCTGTCTTTCTCTCACTCTTCATTTTGTGTATTGTTTGTATTATTTGTATGCCATGTCCCTCAACCCTGAAGTGAGGGTCTTTGAGGATCCCAATGAGGCCACGGTGCACATGGCATCATTGATTAGCGAGGCTCATCTCCTTGAGGCCAGGGTGAGGCTTTTCATGATAAGCAAATACCCAAGTCTGTAATATAATCATTGCTATTGCTTTTTATTGATGTAATGTAAAGGGACAGTTAGTCCTTTTTATGCAACCGTTAAATAATTGCTCAAATATAAGTGCTGCTGTCTTATGTTGTATTACAACTTTGTTGTTGATCTCAACCTCTGAAAAAATATAGACTGCCATGGCCACGGAAACCCCTGCCATCCCTCCGGAAAAGAAAAGAAAAAGCAGGAAGAGACCTCTTTCTAATCCAGTGGTCACACGCAGACGTGAGAGACAATGGGAAACACAACGCCCCGCATCAGGTTAGTTCTTTACTATATCATGATTTCTAAGTCTAAGAATAAAGATCATTCATAACAAAGTTATTTTGGTGTACACAGTATGAAATTATGTAATTTAAAGATACCTCTTGACAAATCTGTTGCAATGTTTAAAACATTTCCAAATGAAATCAAGATATTTTAAGAGCCTGTGATGATAATCCTTGCCTGTGTTGTATTTTTTAAAATGTGTACCTCGATTTGGATAAAAGTATGCCAAATGTAAATTGTCATTGTGATGCTGTGGTAATAAGTTCTTAGTTTCATTACCTACAGTCCTTACAGAGCATTTTCATATTACAATTAATTGGTGTCATTTTAGATTGATTGAAGGGTTAAGCAAAAATGACTGTCTCTGCAGCTTCACAAGCCAGAAGAGACGATCCTGTGCACGAGGAAGGCCTTCAGCTAGAACATCAAGAGTTTGGTAGTCTTGGTGAGTATATTGATTATAACAGCAGTTGACTGGCACTACAGTTTTTCCCAATGTTTCCATTTTTATACTCATCTAGTTAATCATAATAAAGTATTGAGTATTGACTGTTTCATGACAAGTGAATGCATATTTGGTATAAGTATCACTTGCTAATATTGCTTTGGATGCATATGATGATTCATAGCATGTTGCTATTATTAGTCCGCATATATTTTTCCAACTCAAAAGTGGTTCAGTATACTACCTTAATATCCATCATACCAGTTTTAGGGTGGCGGCTTAACAGCTGTTTTATTTTTTAGAAACTCATCTCCAAGAGTTAAGGGACACCCTAACTGCAGTACAGGTTCTGGAGGCAACAGACGGAACGGTTTCTGCCTGGGCACAAAGGCAGCTTCTCACAGATGTGAGAATGAAAACGGCTAGGCCAATGCTTTTTAATGCAAAACTCTCAGCTGAGAGAATAGCCATTCAGAAGTGCCACAGATGCTGTGCAGAAGAAGCGGCTATTAGGTGCCTGGACTGTGTTCCACTGGACATGGAGTTCCTCTGTGCAACCTGTGACATGGAGGCCCACAAGAGGAATATCTTCCATGACAGAGAGGCTGTGTTCAATGGATTTCTGGAGCCCATTCCCCCTACAACTGCTGTGGTGGTGGATGAAAATGGCCAGCCTCAGTTTTGTGAACAAAGTATGTAAAGGTTAACATTACATTACAATGTCCCATTATAATGTAGTTCCCAAAATTAAGTGCGAATGGGAAGTGTACATAGCTGATTGAAAAAAGTATGATTGGTTTTGACTAGGGCTGCAAGATATGTGGAAGTTATGCAACATTTTATTGAATATCTTTATAATCTGGAGAATTAAGGAAAAACTGTAAATACACCCTTCCTCATTTATTTTCTATATTGCAGTATGTCAACTGCCTGTTCCTACTCCAAGGTCAATCTGTGAATGCTCTGATGACGTCACAGTTACTCCTTGGAAGCATATTTCTGTGGTCACCATCAACGGTATGTTGTTCTGAAAGCCCTTCTTTTTGTACAAGTAGTATTGTACGGCAGAGTTTTACCACTTTGTGCAATGCAAAGATTTGTATCACCTGGTCATTTTCAGACAACACCCAAATGCCATGTCAAATAGCTAATATATCATATATGCACATCTATGTATAAAATCCAATATTTTAAGGCAAACTCACAGTTTAATTACCGAAATACCTTTACTTTTTCCATTTGTTCACAGGACGATACAATGTCTGCTTGCCTCGGAAATCCTGTCCATCCTGCTCTGCAGAATGGACTCCTGAGGTTAAAGACCTGCTTTTGTATCGGTACTGGCCATCTAGCACCAGCTGCCAGACGCTTTACAAATATGATGTGTTCACCTCATTCGAGCACATGAAGGTGACAGCACCAGCCATGTCCAGGCAGGCATTTCTGAAAATGTTGGAGCACAGATCTGTTCAAGCTGGACGGGTAAATCTGCCTGAATCACACGGAAACATACAAAAAACAATATCATATTACTGTATACCATATCATAAATTGTTGGCATTGCTTTCAAAACAATTACTAATCCACTTTTTTTAAATCAATATACAGACAGGTATTATCTGTGCTGATACATTTCAGCGAAGCTTCTTCGAGTTTTGCTTCTGTCAGTACAAACAAGAGGATATGTGCCAGGTCCATCACTTTGTTTGTCCAGCATGTTCTCCAGACATGTTGGCTGTCTGCTGTGATGGAAACCGCAAGCATTACCGCTTTTCCAAGTCAAAAGGGTATGTATAGGTATTATTGAAAATGATAAAGAACACACCGCTAATACAAATAGTAGCCCTTGGGGTTGTGTTTGAGTAGCCATAACAGACATTAAAACAAATCATAGTAATGTAGTGCTTTGTGATTTTTATTATTGACTTGTATGTTAACTTATCATGGACAGGACTGAGGAGCCGCCAATCTATGAGGGCTTGTTCCTGGCCAAGGATGAGGAAGTCGCAACATTTGTTGACCTTGTCAGAGGCAACATGAAAAGTGTACGTTTTTTTTCTTATTATGATAGTTGCAGTTACACCTGTGGTGTTCTTTTTTATATATGTCAAAACGTGTGTGTAATAAACTGACTTTATAGGGAAATGACAGTGCCGTCTGTGGTACTGCCAAATTCACCGCTGGCAGAGAGATGTCAAAAAAGTCTGGTGCCCAGATAGACAAGGAGGGCATTCAAGTGGCAGTTTGCAGGTATGTATTTGTAAGTGTGTCTGTGTGTGTATATGTGTTTGGTTCTTGAGTCTGGTCTCATTATTTCAGTTTTAATAGCAATCCAAGTCTAAGTCTTTGTAAGAATTGGAAGCATTAAACACTTTTGATTGTGGAGCGGAATTGATCCATCCTTTGTAGCATCCAAGTGATATTTGTTGTTATAGCCACCTAGATGACAGAGTGCTTAAGCCAGGCCTTGCTGTGTCAGTTTATTATTAACAACTAGATTTTCTTCTGATTAATCAGACATGGGTTTCTCTTACGAGGACTGAACCACTTCCGTGGAGAAATATACGCGTACCCAATGTTTCTCCAAAAAGAGATGTCCAAGAAGGCAAATGTTGACTTCTTCTGTATGGATGTAACATGCAGGTAATCCTCACTGTCATATTGCACATCCACAACAATGTTTAAAATGGCCTATGCCTCAGCAGTCATTTTAGATGATATTGATATTGTTGTCATGTCAATTAAAAGTTTATCTTTGTAACACTCAATCACAAAATGCTGCTCCTGCTTCTTAGGTACTGGCCATACCTTAATAAAATAGCCGAGGGATTACCAGAGCTTCTGCCGTTGACAGAAATGAGGCCATTTCTTAGCGTGATGCATGCTAAAGCCCATACAGCAAAATGCGAGGTACATAACATCTTTAATGCAAAGGATTTTTAATGTTGTGCATGGCATGCCTTATTGGATATCAAAAACGTTGCTATATAACACTATTTGCGCTGTGTTGCAGGTGAGATGGGGCTGGCAGAAGTCAGGACGGGGCAGGAAACACAGTGGGAGAGGAAGTAGAGCAGGTATGTTATTAATGGCATTATTATAACTGTATGGATACAAGAGGACTTAATAGAAAGCAGTACAAATATGTATGTGTCATCTCAGTGACAAGCCTGTTGATTAGTTTAAAGCATATCCTTTATGTCTGAGTTCAAATGAAAGATAGGCAGCTCATATGTTCAGCAACAATACATGCATGCACATTGTAGGAAGTCAGTACACAAGTTTTCTCTTAAACCATCCAGTTCAAGATCTATGATGTGTAGGTAATATTGTTATGTAATGGTGACCGAACATTAATTGTAACATTCATTATAGGTGAACAGCTTTCTCTCCAGGGCAGCTCTGGTCACAAAATACATGACAAAATCAGGTTGGTATTAACACTACACACTGTGATAAGGCAGCCCTGATAAGTATTTTACAGAGAGTTCCCTCCGTAAAAACATTATTGGTGTATTACCAGTTCAACAACCTTTTAACGATTGGGTTTAGTCATGTCTATCAGGTTTCTCACTCAGTATTGCCTTTTTGATGTGAATACTTACTTTTTTGTTTGTGGATATATTGTTGTGTTTTTTAGGAAGAGTGAACATGCTTACTCAACAGGCCATGGGATGGAACAGAAGGAAGAGGGACAACCTTCATCAAGTTTTAGCACACAGATATGTCAAAGTAAGGGCAAATTACAATTGTCTTCTCATCTGACATGACATATGAAGGATGTCTGCAATGTAACCTCATAGCTATATACATTATGTTCTCCCTTATCCACACTTCCTCTTGCAAGTCAGATGGTGTCATGGAATGTTTCAACTGTTCTTCTGAAGGTCTTGTACTGAAAACTGGTGTACTTTGCATTATGGTGTTGCATGGCGCTTTTGCTCTGACATTTTCTTTTTTTTGTAAAGATCACAGAGAGGGCAAAGGTGGAAGCTGCCAGCTTCAGCGACTTCAAAAAGGAGCACAACCTTGATCAGGAGACCTTACAGCAGTGGGTGTATGATGTCAGGCAATGGGCGGTCACAGGTAAGACATACCACAGGTTTTCCATATATACATCTGTTAATTACTGTAAGTTTAGACATACAATATAAGTTGGCTATATGTTGAAACTGAGACTGTCACTGATTGTATCTCTTCTCCAATTGTTTTATTGCAACTATTTAGAGAGAGTTTACGCCCCAGGGTGTACTGAAGGACTAAGGGTGGATATTGAGAACATCACCGTCACTCTTTTGCGCAGGAAGCAAGATCTGTATCGTCAGCATGGTTTGTTGTCAAACGTAGTTATTGAAATTACGCTTCAAAAACAGCAAAAACATTCTGGCACCATGACACAGTTTTGTTTCCGTTTCACTTTGCAGACAGCAACCAGGCAAGGCAAAGAAAGAGGAAGAGAATGAGAGAGCTGAAAAAGAAGCTTCGCGAAAAAGTTGTGCAATACAACACCGGAGTGCAGGAAGAACAGATTGACGAGGAGTTGGCTTGCAGTCTGACAGAGGTCTACACCCTACCATGGGAGAGGCATGCAAATGGTAGGGTAATTGCTAGTTTGGCTTGTTGTTTTTTTAGTCCATACCAAAATATTACAGTTTATCATGGGGAAGAAAAAGCAATGGTGATACCTGCAAATATATAATATTTGTTATTAGTTTACATTATAGAGAACCAATGCTATCGCTACAAAGATTTGTGTCTCAGAAATGAAAATCATTCTGTAATAATATAATTTATGAATAAATATTCCTTGTCTACTACTCCATTCCTTTCCTCAACCTAAAGGCAACACCTTCAGGTTGAAGAGGTCTGTCTTTGAGCAGGTAATGCTGGTCAGACGTTTGGAGGAGGAGCAGAGCATCCTGGTGAAAGAGATGTCGCAGCACATCATGTTCCTTCTGAAGGAAGTGGAAGCACTGAGAGGACAGACTTTGGAGGGCATCAAAACCAGCAGTATGTCTGAGATCTTAACATTTGAATATTTTCATCCACTCTTCAACACATTGCATGTCTTACATATGTAGAACACATCTGTCACTGTGTCAGGCCGAAGTGAAATAGTAAATTACTGAAACTATTCATCATCAAGATCATAATCGATTATTTTCTGTCTATTGACTAATTGTCAAGCACTATATCAAACATTAATCAACATATCCCATTTGGCACCCAATATATACTAACATCCTTCAGTTTAAGATGGATTTACCTACTTTGTAGTGTTTTTACATATGCAGCATTGTACAATGCAAAGAGATTTGCAATTGTCATGGTTTGTTTACATTGAGCCCTTTTTCTGTGTGGTTATTCCTATATATACAGATTTCGGTGACCTGACAGAGGATGCTGCACATGGGCTCAAGAGTGTCCTCAGTCGGAGGTGGCACTTCCTCAAAAGCCAACACAAACAGGCTGTACATGCGTACAGCGGTGTAGCCGCTTTGGAATGCCATGATCTTCAATTACAGCAGGACATTGAGGAGTCGGATGACAATGACTACACTAGCCCTGAGTCTGAGGAAGAAGACCTGTAAAGGTTTCTGCCAAGCAACACAGAGGCACTGGAGAGCTCTTTCACAAGAGAAGTGTCACGTCCACACGCTGGCGCACGCCATAATAAAGGCCTACAAAATAAAGACATTTTAAAACACTATATATGAGAACAATATGAAACTATGCACTTGTTTCGCCCGACTGAGTTCATAATAATGTGAAAATGTGTTTATATTTTGTACTTCCGTTTATTTAAAGCGCTTTGACTTGCTGATGTGTATGAAAATAAATTGCCTTGCCTTTATATTAAACTGCCTCTTATTACTCAAACAAGTGCTATACAATGGTTGTTTTCTTGTCACTGCATTTTGTCATTCGTTGATTATGAACTATTTACAATGTGAATACATTGTAAATACATACAATACAATAACATAATTCTTTATTAGTAACGTGCATAATGCAGGGTAAATACCAACACATTCTCACTCTCAACTCGTACTTCTAATTTTGTATTATTTTCTAAACCACACACTGTTATTTACTCAACAATAACACACAATTATTCTTGTGTTTATTTGTTTGATTGTATAATGTCGGACTTTTGGAGTCCATCAGGACCGAGGGTCGGAGCAGCTCATAGTAGTTGTTTTAGAGAATTGTACACCCGGAAGTAAGTATTCTCTCTTCTTTGCTTGACAAACCCCGTGATAGTCCTCAAGCTCTGTGATTGGATATTGGAGTGGCAGTGCGCAGAGCGTCCAACAGCACTTTGAAATGGAATGGAACCACGACAGACTGTCCAAAACTGGAGTCGGACGGGTCCACCCCCTCCCCCACCCCGTCACCAGAACTACACGTGCTGGCTATTGTGTGTTTCGCACATAGGTTTCGCATGTTCTATGGCACGTCTCTACTGGGAATTGTACTGTAGTTTTAAAAGACGTTTTCGTATTTCCCATAATAAGAAGTTGTCAGTATTAAACTGTGTACATCCCTGGAGGTTTAGGGGATAGGAAACACATGTGTCTTCTTGATATTTTCATCTATATTTATATGATTGACCTTCTACTTTCCCCCTATGTATGTACTCTTAATATTTGTATGTTTCATGAAATATAACATAATTCAACAAACAAATTCAATAACGTGCTTTAACCACTAGGCGGTACGGGTAAAAAAAAACTGTCAACTTTAAAGTGTTAACAAGACAAATTATACTGCTGTTTCCAGTTTAGTTTATGATGGATGTATTTTGTTATCGACACATATATTGTTTTGATATTTGTGACACAAATCTTCGGAAAAAATGAAATAAATTAGGGTTATCCAGGTAGCGGAGAGTGGTCCGGCTCCGTTTCCACGGCAACGGTGGCTGAGGATCATGGGTAATCTAGCCTTCCGCTGTCCAAAAAGACCACAAAAAAACGAGTAAAAAACCTTTGAAGCCCCTGTACTGATATTTAGAAGTTATCTACTGGCACTTCAGCATATTAACTGGAGAAAGAATAATAACACTAAATTCCTCCCATCAAGAGCTCTCCATCAAACACCGCATTGACTTTAAAATATTACTTTTCACTTTCAAAGCCCTCAGCAACCTTGCCCCCCCCGTCGCCTCAGATGTTAGCTGAAGCTAACCTACTGCAGCCCATCAGGACAAAGCTCCAGACCTAGGGTGACAGGGCCTTCGCAGCAGCCTCCCCCACTCCCTCTTCAGCCACGTCAGATCCGTCAACATCATTCAAACAATCTCTCAAAACTCGCCTTTTCACTCTTGCCTTCAACTCCTAATCAACTAACCCTTTCTCTTATTCCACCTAGCTTAGCACTTTCTACTTTTGTTGTTATTTTTGTTTTACTTGCTTGTAAGCGCTTTGAGGACCAGAAGCACTTTATAAATGTAATGTATTATTAAATTACAAAGCTAGCCTACAAACAGTGTATTCTCAAAGGATTGAAGCATTGGCTACTTATTTCTTGATATGTTGTGCATTAAGCATTCTGTTATTAATGTTTTCAATAATGTACTATCATCCCAAGGACCGCTTGTGGGCTGCTTCTGTGTATTTCAATCAGGAGAGACTTCATTTTGTTTAAAGAACATTTATTGACACATGCCATACGTTAAATGTTAAGTCTTTGGTGATTAGACCCCGATCCTGAAATGGTATATCGAAAGGGGGAAATGCAGCTGTGAGCATATAGGGAACCCCTCCGGGGTCTAGTCACTGGTGATGATGCTGAAGATCTGGATTTGATGAGGAGATGGGATGAAGAGGGGGTGTGATGAGGTCTTTGGATTAGCTCTCCTGGCACTGGATGTGATGAAAGGAGGTGGATGAGGAGGAGGCGGGCGGAAGCATGAACACCTGAAATCACAGCTGACTGCCATTTTAAAGTTTGGCTGCAGCACAGTGATTGGCTGCTGGAGAATGAGGTGAATGTAATATGTTAAAGAGAACGCCTGTGATGAGCTGATTATATGCAGCTGCGGAGTGAATGTATATATACAGTATATATATATATATATATATTATATATACCCCGTCTTCCTGAAAGAATTTGCGCTCAGCTTCATTTTACATCAATATGCAATTCACCTGTGAAATTAATTGCCAGTGGCCATAAAACAATGCATACAGGGATCCTTCAAGTCAAAACAATGTTAAACTGTTGCACTTTATTAATTCCATACAAACACCAAAACATTTATTGTTTTGTTTGGCAATGGGATTTGCATGGGGTGGGAATCAGGCTGCTTGCCAGGATGGAGGCCAGCACATACCACTGAGAAAGAAATAAAATAAAGGGAGGGTGAAGAAGAATTAGTGAGCAGTAATACACATTAAATTGATTTTCATTAGAGGCTACTGTAACATTTTTATACTGTTTTATAAACGTTTGAAGACAAGTGCAGTGTTGTATGAAGTATTTGGTATTCCACTGTATGGATGCAGCGATTAACCAATGTCACTTTTAACAGTTCAGCTACACTGAGTGTTTTTGTTCTCACTCTCTAAAAAACGACATTATGGTATGTTAAGGTTCATTACAGCAACTGTTGCTCATTGGGAAATATGGAAAACGGGTTAATCGTGTTAACAAAGGTAAAAAGGCACAGTAGCTGAAAATGCCAAAATGTTGTGGAAAAATCCTATAAAACCTCTAATTATAAGTACACATTCATCCATCCTTAGTGTAATAATTGTAAAACCCAAAGGTGATGTTTCCTCAGACTATTATCATAGCATCAAAATGTAAAATCATTGCATCCCTAGAGCCTTACAGCACAACATTTCAAGTGAATAATAACTCCTCCAACAGGCACATTGTATTCTAAGATAAGGGATCAAATAGCATTTGATAGATAACAAACAGTCTATAGATCCCCTTGGGGAAATTATATCATGATGCGTTTGTTACGTTACAATTTTATCTGCCCAATAATAGGGTACCGATATATTTCCCTTTGTTGTAGTTTACGGTTTCACCACTTGATTGTCATCACTGTTGTTAATTTGCACTATCTGTAGATGAATGTCTAATCATAATTCTTTGACCTAGTTCCTTTACATTTCTGTTGTTGTTTGGTGATTATTTACTAATACTTTAGTAAGTGTGGACTTAACGCCAGAGTAGCTAACGTGAACCTGGTGTCTCTGTGGTGTAATCAAATATTGACACAGCTTTAATTAAATAAACTACCTAGTTTCAATGTATCGTTTAGTGTGGACTTTGCACATTTAAAATAACTTGTGTATAGCTGGTGCTACAGACAGCAGAACTTTTTGCATTTTTCTTTAACAAATGCCACCTAAGATAATGGCATGCCAACAATTACCACAAATGTACACATAGATGTAATTGTACAAAAGCCAATTAACATACCAAATGGTGCAGGGCTCCCAGTCATAAAGGTGCTCCGTCCCCCCCTGTGGTAGGCAGACAAAGACATTGTACATCTGTATGTTATTTGAACATTGTACTTTCACAAGTACTTATAATATATGTATTGTTCAAATAGTTTGCATATTTAAAAAAATAGTCATGAAAAAAGACATCTGACCGACTAGAGGGATTTACAGGATGTTTACACAAATAGCTTCATATTGTGAATTGGACAACAGCATTCCTTCAAGGTAAGATAAAGTCATTGCTATACAAATTCAGAAAAGTTATCCAACAGCAAACACTGTCATCCAGGTAATCATTATCCTACCTTTCGGTTCCTTGTCTTTATTATGGTGCGGACAGGGAACACCTCCAGATGGTTGTGAGAGCAATCTGTAATTGTATGGAATACATTATTTGCACAAATGTGCAGAACAGGTAAAGTACGTTTTGTATTGGGCTCATCTCAGAATGCACAAACATTTCCACTGTGTGACAGAAGCACATTTAGTGTTTCCTCCTGAGCAATCACAGAAGCTTAAGAGTCTACACATGCTTTCATTCTAAATCTTAGCTTCTCTGCCATTCCTTCGGGATGTTGCTGTGTCTGCTAATGGACTGATTACATCTTACATTGCTTGCTACTGAGTGGATATGTTTTAGTCTTATATTCATTACACTAGTACTTGGGCTCTGTAGCACTATATTACATTAAGCAAGGATGTGCAAGCTTTCTATTCAATTATAAAGTATAGAAAGGTTTTAATGAATGTGACTTCAGCTTATCAGACAACATACACACAGGTTACTCTGTTGTGTCTTTGTTTTAACTCCAAAATGTGCATGTGTGCGAAACATAAATATAGCATCCATGCATAACATTTGAAGGCAAATATGAGTCCGGCCTTTAATAAATCAATGTTTGGAACGTCTACAAAAGTCGCAACATTAACTTACTGATGCTTATGTGGCATCTAAATGTGAGTAGAATACAAGCTAAACATACCTTTCATTGTTTTGGTTCTTTTACGTGGCTGCCGCACTGGTGGGATTTGGTGTGATGGTTCCAGCATCATTTGAACCTGGTTTGGTGGTGGGTGGGTGCTGGGAGCCTGGTGTGGTGGTGGGTGGGTGCTGGGAGCCTGGTTTGGTGGTGGGTGGGTGCTGGGAGCCTGGTTTGGTGGTGGGGTGGGTGCTGGGAGCCTGGTTTGGGTGGTGGGTGGGTGCTGGGAGCCTGGTTTGGTGGTGGGTGGGTGCTGGGAGCCTGGTTTGTGGTGGGTGGGTGTGCTGGGAGCCTGGTTTGGTGGTGGGTGGGTGCTGGGAGCCTGGTTTGGTGGTGGGTGGGTGCTGGGAGCCTGGTTTGGTGGTGGGTGGGTGCTGGGAGCCTGGTTTGGTGGTGGGTGGGTGCTGGGAGCCTGGTTTGGTGGTGGGTGGGTGCTGGGAGCCTGGT